GGTGGAAGAAAGTAGTCTTTCTACAATCCTAGGGTGGAATCAAGCTAATCGTCCTCATTCAGAACCCACTGAATCAAATAGGATGAATTTATTTACTTGGAAGTTCAAAATGTGCTATTGAAGACTAGATTTTGAAATCTTACTCTCCTTTTTCCTTAGACATCAACAATTCTTCTATAATTGAAGAAGTCAGATTACACAGACTTGAATGGAAGACTTTGTTGACCTGGGAATTCCAGCTATGGTGTTCAAGATTTCCCCTTGAATACTTATGCCATTTTGTTTTTCCACAGGTCATAAAATACTCAATACAGTGGACTGCACCAGACCCAATGGTGGGAGGCTGCCTATGAAGGTTGATCTAATGATGAGTGATTTTGCTGGAGGAGCTTCAGGCTTTCCGATGACTTTCAGTGGTGGAAAATTTACTGGTAATACTTTATATCAGAGTGATCCAAAGAGCAGGCATGGCACTTTGCTAAATGCTGTGCAAATAATACAAAGATAATTAATACATGGCCCCTCCCCACAAGAAGCTTATAGTCTTATTGGGAAACCAGACTTGCAAAACACAGATACACAAACTAAAGTTTCCGACTCAAAATATGCTGATGGGGCATGAAAGAAACACTAAGGAGATTAGGGAGCCTCTCAGGAAAAGTCAGGAAGAGACATTTGGGTCATTTGCATTCCTGCTGTAGACCATAGAGCAAACAGGAAGAGCCCAACGTTGGGAATCCAGGCTTAGGTGCTCTTGGTACGTGGTTCAGAAAAGGGTGTGTGCAACTTGAGGTGAGCACATCCCCTTGGCCCTGTGGAACACTCATACGGTGGGGGATGAGGCAGAGGAAGTCCCTCTAGAGTGTGGAGTTACTGGGCACTGGGGAGTAGAGGAAATAGGGAAATAGTGGTCAAAGAGTACAAACTTCCAGTTATAAAATGAGTAAGTTCTGGGGATGTGATGTACAGCATGGTGACTACAGTTAACAACACTGTACCATATACTTGAAAGTTGCTAAGAGAGTAGATCTTAAATTTTCTCACCATACACACACCGATAAATGGTAATTTTGTGAGGTGATGGACATGCTAGCTCACCTTATT